CACAAACATTTGACTAATATCTGCAGCAGTTCATATTTCCCTAATTCCATATTAACTGTAAAAACATGATATAAAACCCCTGCTTTCATATATTACACTTCTACCCAATATAACGCTGTCCTCAGGAGCCAAAAAATCTTACTGCGTTATATCGAACTTGCTTTGATCTGCCGGAGTGCACAGCCCCGCCCCCCTGTATTACCGTGTTATATCCGAATTCGTGTTATATCGGGATAGAGGTGTACTTTCTTGTATGAATGATTTGTGCCTCTGGTGGCCTCATGGTGGTACACCGCTTTATGCCTTTCAGTGAAGGCCGCCATAAGTATTATGTCTCTGATTTTAGATTCACTTGTGTCTGAAGAGGTTGAATCTTTATTTTTTTCAATCAAAGGGTGGGATGTACCAGTATATTTCAGTGATAATAAGGTTTCTTGAAAATTATTTAAAAAAATTATCCACCTTACTTGTTTTAAGCAGAGCGGAGAAAACATTCTCTTTTCAAAGGATCAGATAATGTACTGGGGCTTAATTAGTGGTTGGAGTAGCTGATGGCCTAAGGAGATGCCACTGCTTAAATTCCATAGATCTGATATACTAAAGAATTTTTGTTTCCCTCCTTTACCCCCACTATCCCTGTAGCAGTTTTATCAGAACACCACAAGAAGAGTCCTGTATTAGATATTTATTTTAGAGAACTGACACCTGGAACACCAGCAAACCAAAATTCTTGTGTAAATATTAATGTTCAGTGCGGGTTAATGTTTATATTGCAGCTGTAATACGTTTGTGTATTCACAAGAACCCTGTATATTTAGTCTAAATCTGTTGCTTTTCTGCCAAGATTGTATGAATCAGAACATGCCTTTAATAGGCAAAACTTCTCTTTATTGGAAGATTAGTAATTCCCTTAAGATACTTTATCTTACCTTCTGTTTAAAGAGGTTGCTAGTTTACTCCTATCTTTTTCCAGGTATACATAGGAAGTAAAGTTACTGTTATGACTAACCTGCAGATAAATTTCACATATGGGTTATTCATTAAAGTCCAAGTTCCTCAGCTTCTGTAAATAGTTGTGGCTCACTGGAAGTCAATAGAGTTATGAAATTTTACACTAGCAGAAGAGTTGGTCCTCATAAATGTTAAGTCCTTGTTCCATTGAAAACAGTCAGAGCTTATGCTGTTGATTTCAATGGAACCTTAATTTGGCCATAAGCATTTTCATATTTAAATATTTCCTTAAATAAAAACTTACTATGAACAGATTTCTTCTGATTTTTGGAATTTTAATTACTATATATATTTTAATTTAAACATTCCTCTACCGTTGGAAACTCAAAACAAAGCAGCACTGCAACTGTCTGCATGACATCCAGCATGAGAAATTGACTACAAAGGGTTATTGTCAGCATATTACACTTCTGGCTGAAATGTCTTCATCTGCTAGTGTTACAAGTAACACTTAAAATGATTATACCAGAAGGAAACAAAAAAAATATCAATTCTGTTTGCTTTGTACATTTGACAGCACTTTGTATATAGTCAGTTTCCCCTAAAGTTTGTGTTGGTCTTACTGGAGGGGGGAAAAACATCCCCACCTATGTAGGGAAATATGACTGTGAAATTACTTTAAAAGGCAAGGGATTTTAAGGGCAGATCTGGTACCTGAAACTACTAGTAAGTTATTAAAAATGAATTAAAAGATTTTAAGTTGAAACACATGTGAAACAAACCAGTACAGCTTTACTGCCAAAGCTGACCAAACTGCATGTAAGCAGACAGCATAAAAGTACACAAAAACAGATGTTTACAGTTCTATCACTTTTAATAATCCAAGATGTTATTAATAATCTAATGGATTTTTTAATTATTTTGAATATCTAAAAGTGCTACTCAAAATTAAATGTCTTGGACAACATATTGCAAACTTATTCCAATGCTACAACATAAGTACACGATAAAAGCTTTTAACTCACAACCTCTTTTGTTTTTAAAACACTGGGAGACAAAATCAAAGTGTTACCCTCATGGACAAAAAGTGTACCAATACTTTATGCAGATTAAAAACCTCGCTTGCTGTCCTGTGGAATACTGGCAGCCTCAAGGCTCCACAGAAGCTGGTCTCTAATAGTGGCATCTTGCCAATAGTACTTATAGGGCATGCTCTCAATTTGTTTTTATTTTTAGTTACATCTACAGATGCAGTTAAAAAAAAAAATCTGTCCTCTCAACCAGTGAAAATTTCCCCACAAGTTGAATTGCCATTGCCTCTTCCTAAAATGTTGTCAAATGACAACTTCATCTTCAAGCACTCAATGCGCTAGACATATTTATTTCCACCAACATGCCAACCACAATTTGGCTTTGCATTTAGGCAGTCTTTTTTCTGAGAAAAGCAGCAAGATTCTTTTAGACAAGGGTCTCCAATTTTATTTTAGTCTCTGTCTTGAACCTCTGTATTCCTGCTGCCCTGAAAAAAGGAGCTGTGGTGTCTTCTTCAAACTATATTTAATTGTCCTCTGGTTTTTACCCACTGGACTTGCCGAAATGACCTGTTAATGACATGAGGTAAACAGCTGGGCCAGTGCTCAACATAGTTTAATTAGACAAGAACAAATGATGTTCAGCACCACTGCAGGAACAGCAGTTACAAAAGTGTTAACCATCTCTTTTGGCACCAGTTGAATCAGAAAGTTTCTAGCACTGTATTGGACAGTTTATTCTACTTTAAAAAAATCTTGGTCTTATATTTTTAAAACCAAGATATTTGTGTAATACATACAATACATTAAAAAATATAATTGCACATTGCAAAACAGGTATATGTTAGCACATATTCACTCAGACAAATTCAGAGTCAACTGTCCAGCCTGAGCAGCTGGGCCAGGTACTAGGTAGATGTGTGTGGAGGAATGGGAAAAAGATAGATCATCTGCCCCGGTCCTTATTTCTTCACCCCGAGGGGGGACGGGGGAAGGAGAGAAGAGGGTGATCCATGTAGTAGCAGATCCTCTAGCCACATTTCCACCATATTACAGACCTGGAGCAAGATCCTCAGCTGATATAAGTCAACATAGCACTGTTGGCTTCAATGGAGCTACACCAATTTACACCAGCTCAGGGACTGCCCCATGATCTCTGCTTCTTCCAGGGGATGAGGTTTCCATTCTATTGCTAAAGAGTTCTAAGTGGTCATTGAGAAGATGACTAGATTTGCCCTCAGAGCACAATTATGAATAGAGCCCTGCACAAATACAAAATTTGTATCTGCATCTGATCCCCAATCCTCAAAAATGATCTACAGATATAAAGCGGATACCCACGGATTTGTAGGGGGTCTAATTATGAAAATGCATTCATAGTATTTATCAGCAATGATACAGAACCAGAATAAATCAATATACAACTGGAGTCATTAAAACCTAGTAGCATTCATGATTGTCAGCATGTTAGCACCTAATTTAGTCGGTGCAAAACAGCTCAAAGAAACAAAATATTATTGTTATGGATTTTACATTTATCATCATCATTCTGGTAATAATGTGGTAGGTCCTATCCACACACAGAAGACACAGACCTTGACATGAACAATTTACTATTTAAAACAGTAAACATACAGAGGATGATGGACAGGGATTAAATAAAATGTTTTAAGTGTTTTACTGAGTTTGACCTTTTAAAATAATTATCAGCAATCCCCAACTACACTTCTTTATCCCATTAAATGTAGCTAGTTAACTTATTGCAGGCACTACCATAAAAATGGGTCCTGAGAACAAATTTGAAGGAGAGGGTAGATAAACTAGGGGACCTGGTCTACACTTAATATCTAAAATCCACACCCCAGAGTGTACCTACAGCACCCTAACCCTGGTGCAGAGACAGCAAGATCAATGGAAGAATTCTTCTGTGGCCCCAGCTACCACGGCTCTGGGATGGGGGCTCCTACAACCGCAGGTAAACCCTTCCATCGCTGTAGCCTGCGTCTACACTAGGGGGTTATGCCGGCACATCCCCCGCAGTGTACACAGGGGGCAGGGCCTCCTCTACAATGAGGATTAGCCTTAATTCCATCTGTTGGTCCCGCTCCGGGAGCCGCACTGGGCCCCCCAGATACGTGGGCAGCGGGGGGACTCATGCTGCCTTGAAGCTGGGCAGGAGGCGGGAATGGGGGCCAAGCCTCACCGCGGACTAGGGAGGGCGCAGGACAAAGCACAGAGCCGGGCTGCCAGGGGCCGCAAGGCTGGAGCGATTTGGCTCAGTGGCAGCGGGAGACGCCAGCGCGGCTAGTGGCAGGGACGAGGCCGGGGACAGCCTGTGGCGGCGGGAGAGACGGCGAGCCAGGCCCGGCTGCGGAGACCGGGGGGAAGCAGAGGCGGGCGGGGCTCAGGCAGGAGGGCGGGGCGGTACCTGCAGGGGCAGCCCCGGGTCTCCAGCCCGGGGAACCGGCTCCCTGCACGCGCCCATGGGTGGGGGGTTGGGTGGGGGCAGCTGCCCGCGCGGAGACTCCGGTTCCTCGGGGCTTCACCTCCCGCCACGTGCGCACCGCCCCCGGGGCGGGCTGTAGGGAAACCCCGCCCCGGGGCGGAGGCAGCGGCAGCCCTGTTCGTTCCCCCTGCGCACGCGGCGGTGAAAACCCACGACCAGTCCAGCGCGCGCGGCAGCGGCGGCTTCCGGTGCGACCGCTGCCCGGGCGGATCTATATGTCCGGGGAAGGTCGGGTGACGGCGTGACCGTTCCACTCTCCCCCCCCCCCCCCCCGCGCGCTCCGGAGATGGAGTCGGCCAGGCCGCCGCCGCGCGCGCCCGCCCTGAGCGTTGCCACGAGCCATCGCGCTATAGCCATGTCCCGAGCGCAGCCAACAAAGGGCCCCGGGGGGCGGGGAGAAGCGGCCGGGACCTGAGCGGGACGGGGGGGCTGGGGCCTGCTGCCCCCACTCCGGGCCGCCCGCGGTGCTCTGCGGGGGCAGCAGGGAGCGGGCCGGGCCCGGGCACACTCACCTGGGGTCGCGGCGGGGCCCGGAGCGGCGGCGGCGCTGGTGCCCGGGTTCCCCCCGCTCTTTGTGTGCGAGGGTCCGCGCGCTGCGCTCTCGCGTGACGTGACGGGACCGTGTGTCATTTCCGCACAAGGACACAGCGCCCCGAGCCGCGGCCAGCGCCACCCGCGCCCACTGGGGACCCCTCGCCCCGCCCGCACGCGGGCTCCTGCCCCCCCGGGGGGGCACCGCCCGTGGAAATACCCGCCCTCGCGCGACGGCCGCCTCGTCCCCGCTGCCTGTAGGCCGGGGGAGCCGCCGGTCCCTCCGGCCCCTGTGCAAACGCGTGCGGCGGAGAGGCCGGGCAGGGCCAAGCCACTTCCCCCTGTCAGGAGCAAAGAGCGGCGACACCTTTCGCGGCGGGTGGGGATCCACCACCCCGGAGCGGGGCTGGCAGCCTGCCCCTGCCGGCCTCAGCCCGGGCCAGCCCCAGCGACAAAACCCGGCCCCTGGTCTGAAACGAGCCAGTCGGCGGGATCGAGTCCCGACTACCGTGGGTGGGAGCCCAGCCGGCCGGCCCCAGGGTGATGCACATGAAGTTAACGGGGCACTAGTGGGCTAGGGAGCCACTTTGGCCACATACGGCGGGGTTGGTGCCTGGCTGCTCGCGCACAGCTCCACGCCACTTGACGTGTGGAATGAAAACCAGCCCGAGCCTCCGAGGCCAAACCGCACGTCTCCTTCGCTGCCTCCCTGAACGGTCATTTGTAACAACTTTCCCCACATGCTCAATCTCGGTGGGTCGGCGGAGGCTCCCCCCGCCCCCCTTCACACCTGACTCGTGAAGCCCGTTCTGCTGGCTGTTCTCTAACATACTCATCATCATCATCATCATCGTGTTACGGTAGCAACTAGAGGCCTCCTTTGTTAGGTACAGCACAAAGCCATGGCTGGCCGCAGTCCCTACCCTAATCTACAGTCCAATAAAACACTAACAAGCATTTTGACATGGTGGGGGCTCTACACTTTAAGGAAGTGGCACTTTTCTGGGGTAATCCTTGAAAATCAGAATTGGATTGACTCAGTTTAAACATCGAAACCGGGTTTCCCTCTATACATAAAAATACATCTTCTGAAACCTGCTCCGAGGAAATTAAAATTTATATGTACTTGGTTCATTTACGGTACTCAAAGATCATGGTCACTTTCATGCTTCCTATTTTAAGAATTAAGAATGGATATACTTAGTTTGGCACAGAATATGCCTTTAAAATATTTAAATAAGCTCCCCAGCCAAAATCATAGTAACTGTGACTAACATCCAGATCCAATTATGATTGTTTGAACAATCCATAAGAAAAATATGAAGAGATTCATACAGGGCTGCATCGGCTCTGAACTTAATGATGACATTGGTACATAATACATTATAGACACAGCCAAAGCCCACAAAAATCGCATTTCGGACAAGTTGTCATAAAAGGAAATCACCTAGTTAAAGAAACCAGTTTTAATGATGCCTTGAAATTATATAAAAGCTACACTTAGTATGCCTCACTTCTATGAATAACCTCAGAGAACAGGTATTTTCTGAATTCCCTACTGCCAATTTAGAAAGGCTATTATGCAGTTTAATTTCAGAGTGTGCAATTTCATTTAAAAACACTTGATTATTTAAAAACATTTACATTTATTCACGTTAAATGCTGTTTGGTTCACTTTCAAGCTGAAGTGTTTAGCAGTTTAATCACTTAACACCTTCAAGCATTCGTCGTTTAAACTAGGATCTTTTCAGTTGCTTCAGCTTTGGTCGGAAGGGGGCTGCAATGACTTACAGTTAATGGAAATCGCATCGTTTCTATGTTAAGTACCTGTGTATATTATACTTTTCCCCGAACTTAACTAACTACACATTGCCAGGAATCCTAACTTAAAAAAAAAGTATTGACAAAAGAGACATTTGCAGTATCTTAGAACATGTCCGATATTACTCCAGCAATTCTTACGTTTCCTTGCTATTAAAAGGGGGAGGAGGGAACGGAGAGCAAATACTTTCCCACTGTCCAAAATTTGCAGAAGTTATTCTCATTTAATGTGTGTAAAATATAAATTTCCAGCCCTGCAGAACTGTGGGCTATTTGAAGTAGCTCGAAAGAGCGGTCTTCGTGAAATGTCTCCCACTATTTAGTGACCCTTTGAAATTAGTACGATATCAAGCCTGACACCTTTTATATGTGTTTTCTTTAGACAGGATAGGGTCTTTGGCCCTGTTGATAGGAGTGGAAGCTGTCCTACGATGCTTGTTAATAGGATTTTCCTTTTACTTAGAAGAGTGTGTTTCATTTTATGAAGTCATCATTTATATGATTTGTCTTTTTTCCAGAGAGCACGATCAATGATGTCACGGTTGTTACGTTATAATAAAAATACACATAAAACAATAGCAATAGGCAATCATTTTTGTGATAAGATACAGGGCAAACAAAATTAAAGGCGGCAAAACAGAAAGTGACAAAGTACAAGGAGTGCTTCATTGATTAATAAAATCGCAGGTAAAATAGCTTGAGCTCATCAACGCCCAGATTTAGGAGTTAAACCCAAAATTACAGTTTGTTTGTAACCTAGTGAAAAGAAATTTCAACATAATACATCTAGTTTATTTTCACAAAAAACAAAATCCTCTGTAAGTCAAACTACTCAGAATTCACTTAAAAATCACTAAAATTAATACTGTCCTTTAGAATTAAGGCTGTACTGTTCATTAGTCACATGCTAAGTGGTGGATCTAAAGAGTAAAATAGTTACTAAATATATTGCCCCTCTTAATGACATATTTAGATTTTTGAAGTCTTAAAACAAAGTAACAGATTTTGGGGTTTGCTTGTAAAGTATTTCTTTGAGATTTCTTTCCTGCAATTGCAGAACTCTGCCAAAATCTCTTGAAGCTCAAGCTGCTGGCAGATTTACAGTGACAGATTCTATGAATAATCACAACAGATAATACAGAGGGGGGGAAAGCAATAAAATCCTTCAAATTAACTATTTACAGGCTACTGTTTATAGGAGCCCCTAAAGCACAGATTACTGTGAGCTCCTCTGATAAATCACTAGAATGTAGGATACATTATCAACAAGACAAATTCCCTACAGTGGACCCAGTTCTAAACAGTGGTTCAAGATAAAGAGCTGTTCCAGATAACTTTATTCAGGGTCTTATATTTACTGTACTGTATTATCACTATAAAACTAGGCCAAGTTCTGTGTGATTTATCTTTTTTCAGTACTGGAAGATACTAAAATGGATACTAGATACTAAAAAAACAGCTAACTGAACATGCTATTAAAGGGTTAAATGTTTTAACACCTGCCACAGCTGTTAAGCAGTGTTGTAGCCTCAGTCTGATTTTACTTGAATGCTTTGCATGGTGGGATTTAGTAAAGGGAAAGAGAAGGGAAAAAGCCAACTAGTGCAATCCCAAATTCAATTTCAAAGCCCTTGAGAAAATGCTTGCCAATTTGAATTCCATCTCATTTCTACTCTATGGTGCTGGCCGGAGGCACTGCAGCTACTGGGGGACCCACACCCAGGAGGAGACCTGAAGGCCTCAGCTAGATATTCAGGAGCATGATCATGTTGTTGCAGAAACAACACTAAGCACTGTCTCCAGGCAGTGCAGATACCGTAGCAAGTTTAGATTGACTTCCCAGACAGTCAAGTCCCGTTTTTTTTTCACCATCTGAACATGTGCTACACAAGTTATTTATTCAGATGTGCACTTTTTTGTTTCATGCCTTTGGCTCAAAAGCCACTCTGTGACACTATGGCACACTGGAAAATTCCAATTCAGCATGGGGGGGGAAATCCATTCTGCTATTTCATACAAGTGAACTTTAAAGGAAAACTCGTTATCAAGGTTAAGTGTAAACAATGCAGCACTTGTCACTTGACCCAACTGAAACTAGGTTACAGCTGTAAAGATGTGAACAAAAACTGTTGGAATCTAATACCTAGTTTAATATTTGCTCAAAGTGGCTTGAAGGTAGAAAGCATCCCTATCCAAAAGTCCCATAGAATTTAATAAGAATGAAACTAATAAGGTTCTATACAAATTTACTCTAACAAACTATAGGAGCCAGATTCTACCCTAAGCCATGGCCCCTTTATGCCAGTCCACTGGCAGGAAGGATCCATAAGTCAATAAATGTGTCCAGGTAGTAATTTTTCTGTGGGCAGTCCTCCCACATGGGTATAGAACCAGTGTAGCTGGCTTTTACACTGTAGGTGGCAGAAAGGTGGCATGATTGGAGCATTGCAGTACTATACCAGGCTTTTGAAGCCATAGCAAGGTAACAGTTTAAAGTAGCCATGAGGCTGCTTTAACCATACTAGGGGCTGGGCTGGTGCAAAAATGGGGAGTCAAAAATGGCTCTTTTGAGGCCTCTTCACTCAGCTGTGCCTCACACATATTTGGCAGAGGTGAGACTCTATCCAAAGAGTTTAATATAGATTTTTACCTATAGGTTTTTGAGCTGTCCTATAGAACTCCATAGCAGGGATGTAACTCTTTATCAACTCCTATAGGAAGGTTAAGAAAACCTATAGAACACCAGAGATTAAAAAGGGGACCTCCAGAAATAAAAGGTCACCTAGCTAAGAGCTGTAACAGATTCACATCCTCTGTGGATTAGGCAAAGAGGGTGATATGTACACACACTCAATTGGTTACATAAGCAATAACTATAACTGACACAAGCAATGTAAGAACGGCCATACTGGGTCAGAGCAATGGTCTATCTATCACAGTATCCTGTCTTTCTACAGTGGCCAATGCCAGGTGCTTCAGAGGGAATGAACAGAACAGGTAATCATCAAGTGATCCATCCCGTGTCACCCATTCCCATCTTTGGGCAAACAGAGGCTAGGGACACTTCAGAGCATGGTTTTGCATCCCTGCCCGTCTTGGCTAATAGCCATTGATGGACCTATCCTCCATGAACTTATCTAGTTCTTTTTTGAATCCTGTTATAGTGTTGACCTTCACATCCTCTGTCAAAGAATTCCATAGGTTGACTGTGCATTGTGTGAAGAAATACTTCCTTTTGTGTTTTAAACCTGTTGACTCTCAGTTTCATTTGCTGACCCTTAGTTCTTGTGTTATGAGTAAAAACCACTTCCTTATTTACTTTCTCCACACCAGTCATGATTTTATAGACCTCTATCATACCCCACCCTTAGTTGTTTCTTTTCCAAGCTGAAAAGTTCCAGTCTTACAAATCTCTCCTAATATGGAATCTGCTCCATACCCCTAATAATTTTTGGTGCCTTTTTCTGTACCTTTTCCAATTC